AGGATAGAGACTTTTGAGTCTGTCAAGGGGTCAAAATTATTCTCTTCACTTGACACGGCTCATGGATATTTCCAAGTAGCACTTCATGAAGAATCGGTGGAGAAAACAGCATTTAGAGTCCCTTGGGGCCTCTATGAGTTCTTGCAACTCCCCCAGGGCCTCACCAATGCACCAAGCACCTTCCAGCGGATTGTTGAATCCATATTTGGCGACCTTAACCTGACCGAGTTGGTTGTCTATCTCGATGACCTTCTTGTATTCTCTAGCACATTTGAGGATCACCTGATCAGGTTGGAGAAGGTTTTTCAACGACTAAAGCAGTACGGTCTGAAGTTGAATGGCAAGATATGCCAGCTTTTTCAAACATCTGTAAGACATCTTGGTCATGTTGTTAGCGTTAACGGTGTCTCTGTAGACGGCACGTATTTGGGACTGACCGACATCTGTGAACGTTCAGCAGCTAAGATCATTCTTAGGCCTCGCGTCTTACTACAGTTTGTTCCAGGATTTTCTAAGGTGGCGCACCCCTTACACATGCTCATCCGCAATGGAAGAGAACAAGCAGGGAATCGGCATTCTATATTTGTTTGGTCAGTGGATGCTAATAACGCTTTCAAGGCCTGAAAACAGACCTTGTGTGAGGCCCCAGTTCTGGCCTACCCCGATTTCAAAAGGGATTTTGTGCTTGAAATTGACGCTTCGGCACAGGGTCTTGGGGCCTGTTTGTCTCAGAGTGATGAGTCTGGGCGCCTTCATCCCATTGCGTATGCTAGTAGAGGGCTCCGAGGAGCCAAGCAGCGGTACTCCGACCTGTCTAGTTTTGAACTAGAATTGTTGTTCTTGAAATGGGCTGTCTCAGACAAGTTCCGAGAATACCTGATCGGACAACGTACAACAGTCTGGACGGACGGCAATCCGCTAGCACACCTTCAGACAGCTAGGCTTGGTATACCCAGCAAGAAATGAGACCGAGGGGTACTCCCCAACATGTCCAATCCCTATACACATTCCAAACGATTGTTACTTAACACATCCCCCCAAGATATCTCAAAGGAATTCCCCAGATTCCTGCGAGACAATGACCAAAACAAAGCAGGGGGGTTCTCTCCGTCTCATACCTTGCTGCATATGAGGCTTGGTAGTATCGAACAGAGATGGGCCGCTCAGCTGGCACCTTTTAATCTTGAGATAAAGTACAGAATAGGGAAATCCAACAGGTGCGCTGATGCCCTGAGCCGATACCCGAGACCCCACTCTGATGGAGTGGAGAAAGAGCAGGTTCCCAAAGATGGTACGGGTGGTGGCGCACAGGTGCCAGTTAAGGTTCAGATCTCGTGTTCCTTGTATTCCGATGATGGAGAACAAGCAGGGACCCAAGCTGGTGTTACACCATCTGTGCTTCCCTCATTTTCATATGATGAGCTTGCGTCCCTGCAGAAAACTCAATGATGACCTTAAAAATGTATGGAGGCGTTGGTGTTGTCGCTGGGAGCCTGGCCAGTCCCCACCCTCAGAGGAACAGCTCACCCAAGAGGCTCATAGTTGGATCAAAGAGTGGTCAAATATAAGGAAACGTCACGGTGTCCTCTATAGGTGTGTTCATGATGCAGGCCTAGAGAAGTATACCAGTTTCTGGTACAGAAGAGGTTGAGGGCCTTGGTGATTGATGCAGCTCATGATCAGTGGGGGCATCAGGACATTGAAAGGACTCTGTCCTTTATCAAGCAGCGATGTTTTGGCCAGGAGTGTCCACACATGTGCGCATTCATGTGAAAGATTGCTTCCACTGTCGGGTTACTAAACCACCTGTTCCAACCATTCGACCTCCAATGCGCCATCTCTTAGCATTTCAGCCATTGGAACGTATTGCTATTGATTTTATTAAACTGGATCGTGGGTTAGGAAATATCGAGGATGTTCCGGTTATAAATGACTCATTCAGCAAGTATACCATAGCGATCCCATGTAGGGATCAGACAGCTCCCACTGTGGCGCGTGTGCTTCGGGACAGTTGGTTCGTACACTATGGTGTTTCTATCCAGATTCACAAGGATCAGGGGCGCAACGTCGAGGGTGGATTGATGCGGGAGTTATGTAAGCTCTACGGGATCAAGAAGACCAAGACCACCCGTACCACCCACAGGGTAACGGGCAAACCGAAAGGTTTAATCGTACCCTGTGCGGTTTGATCAAGCCCCTTGGTGGCACTAGTCGCCATCGTTGGCCTGAATTGTTGCCCCACCTTGTGTACATGTATAACAATACCCCTCATTCAGTTACTGGTTACACTCCTTACTGTCTAATTTTTGGGAGAGAGTCAGTTGTGCCCCTCGGTCACTTGTTGGGCAACACTCACAGCAATTGGTCCGAGAATACTATCCGCAAGAAGGCCCAAATAATCCAGAAAACATACAATATTCTGAAAGATCGGCTGTTGGGAGCCGCAGCAGCGAACAAGCGCCGCTACGATAAACATGCCAAGGCGGTTTATCTCTGTTTTGGCTCTAGAGTCTTGTTGAGGCAGACTGCACATCCAGGACGACGCAAACTCGCCGATGTCTTCCATAAGACACCATATGTAATCGTAGGTCTGGGTGACGATCAAAGTGTTTGCCAGATTTGACCGACACAGGATGGCCCTAGTAAATGGGTAAATCGGAAGATGCTGATCATCGACCCTGGAAAGGAATCAGACTTGCCTTCACCTAGGGACCCATTAGAAATCCTTCCTCCTAGTGATTTCAGAGATGACTCTAGTGACGAGTCTAATGACGACGATCTTGTGTTGTCCATCCCTCCACAGTGGTTCCAAACCCGAGAGGAAGAGTTGGCTCCGACTGGGGAAGTGACAGAAGGAACCACTACGCCTGTTGACTTAGGCAAAGAAGGTCCAACAGTTGTCCAGCCGCAAGTCTCGACTGAAGTCCCTAGTCTTCGACGATCGGAGCGCTTTCAACAACGAAAAGAGAATGGCCGTTGGCCTAATGCCATAATTAAGTATACTTAGGTCAGGATTGCGTCTAACGCTGGACACGCACTTAGGCCTAATCGCGGCAAAAAGACTTATGTTAAGTATTCGTTTATTTCAGTTTAATATTACTCTTATCGTCTTGCAGTTTTGCTGTATTACATGGTTGATTGTTTGATGTTTCCGAGTGAAGCCATACGTTTGTTTTTTACCATTTTGTTTTTGTGTATAATATTATCCCTCAAACAGTTGGGAGAAATTCGGATGCTGAATATTGCCTGCATCGCAGGACATGGTGTATCGCCGTTCAGTATCCGTCTTGCTACTTGTTTCAGTGTTTATTGATTAACTCTTTGTGTAAACATTTTATTACCGTAACAATGTCGGAGAAACCATTGGTGTATTTTTTTGGGCATTCTTTTCCAGCGAGGCTCTCGCGAGAAGCAACCCGTGCTCACCAGTCGGTGGCAAATTACCTGGTTTTGGTGATAGTTACAGCGTGTTCATAGGTCATTCCGGCCTTACGTATGATCGGTTATTTTCAAATGTTGACCATAGTTTTAGAGGAATGCAGACTAAACAAATTGACACGCTTGGAACGAATGATCCTTGTTTGGAAGAGTACACACCAGTCGTTTTGGTAACTAAGGTCTTGCAACTTTTGGACTCGATACTTTCTGTAATTCAGAGGTCGATTGTAACTAGACGTGGACAAGCAAACATATTCACTTTTAATCATCCGGTTAAACGATTTAATATTCAACTTGCTGGGAGATTGCGTGGACGCCCTGGAGTCCATGTGTATGCCCAAAGGAAAGTAAATCTTCCAAGATATTTACAAGATGGGTGTCACTTGACTCCCGAGGGCATGATCAAGTATGTTTAGCTGAATAGGCTTACTCTGGTGATGTCTTTGCCTAGAGCAGGACAGGGACGAATTTGTAAGTATGGCAGGTTCGATGCCGGGAAGGAGAATTTACAGAGAAACGACAGAACAGTCTCTCTTCAGTCCAGTAGCCAAGTGAAGTGGAAGGTCACTGGCTAGGGAAGTTATCAGCTCCTTCTCAAGGACTCTTGTGGTTGGTTGCAAGTTCTGCTACCAACTGCTGCCAACTGCCCACATTCGCTGCCAAGTAACCCACACATTTTTGAGAAATTGTATGACCTAATTCTGGGGGAATTTGGATTTAAAAAAACGGGGGCACAAAATTAATTCTATTACATAATTATTAGAAAGATCAAAACTAGAACAGGAAAAGCTAAACAAAGCTGTGGCTGATGTTATTTATTTCCTGGAGACAAGGCTGATAGTTGGTCGTGACGCTCTTTCGAATACCATTTAATTAAAAAAAACTTTTCTTCAACAACTCACTCTTAATGAAAACACAAAGTTGGGAGGCACACATGAAAAATAACAACAGAAACTCTTTATACGCTGCCGTCATAGGCATGCAGAGCCTCGATCTGGCAGCTTTTTCCGTGTATGTTGCTTAGTAATTTTGGGTATGCTGCGTTAGTTCTTCTATCATCTATACTATACGATTGGACAAAATTTCAAAAGTTGTCAGTTCGAGGCTCTGCATGTCCATGGCTGCAGCGTACATGAGCGAATAGCTTGTACTGGGTGCACTCCACTATAATTCAAGTGAGAATTTCTGGTCGGCTCATTAGCATTTAAAGTGGCCCCATCATCTTTTGAAAAAAAAAGAGATTGTATGGCCCCTAAAATGGTGAGATTGTGTAAATCTTTGCCAGAATTAACTCCTTGGGTCTTTGGGCTTTTATCTGAGAGCAGAATGGCTACAAAATACGGTTGAACGTTGGAAGTGCCCCAGAAAGTTGAGGGTTGTCACTTGAAAAATGGCTCCAAGCAGACTTCGGGGGATGTTGGCGTGCATGCTATTGGGCCCTGAACGGTGCTGATTTTACACTGTTTTCAATGGGGCTTGAATTAGTGGACTGGACCCTACAGCGACTACTCCCGATCGCTGACCTTTGTAAAACACAGTCGGGATCTGTCTGGTCTGGGAACCAGACAGCGTTATTATGTAGCTCCCCAGAGCAAGACATTGCCAATGAACATTGATGAATGATGAACCGAAACGCAGACGATGTTTGGGATCTAGTGTGAACTCGTTGCCAGACCAAATAGCGTGGCATTTGTGTAACGCCCACCATTCCCTCGTCCAATCCCCATCCCGCGGCCCGTGCGATGATGACGCCATCCATGAAAGTACCCGACGACTGTTGTTTTGACATTAATTGTAATCATGTGTACACGTACATGTACACACAAGGTCTTTACGAGCGATACACAGTAGCTGATATAACAGCTTTCGGATCACCGTCTCTAGTGCTGTCTGGTTCCCAGACCAAACAGATCCCGACTGTGTTTGGCATCGGAAATGCTATCGGAAGATAGTTGCTGAAGTTACGATGTAGGTAAACGAATTGCCGAAACACGCCAAATCGAAACCAAAATTGCACGGACTTCTACAGATTGGAATCGCCCAAAGTAATACATCAGAGTATTGATGGGGTGAGTGATCCATACACGCAAAAGGGGTTGCATAGAAGGAATTTTCGGTGAGTCCCAACTTTTTGAATGGATCGCTGCGGGGCCTGGTGGGATACGGAGGGAGTACATTAGACATGGTAGACTGGCCCCCAGTCTGGGGCTAGATTACCCCAGAACCATGGTGTTATGTATGCATGTAAATGTTGCAAGTAGGGAGTTCGATGGCATTACCCCACGTACATGAAGTTAGACAGTATCTGCTAGTGCTAGTGTGTAAAAACTCAATGACAAAACCCCGAGGTGAAAATAGGAATCATCAATATTTCACCTTTTGTGATCCTCTTGTAGGCCTACTTTTAAATTGTAGCCAAGAACTTTCTCCTTCAAAACTTCTCATTAGTTTGGAATAAATTGAGGTAGGCCTAGGCTATAGCACCCGAAAAATAAATTGGAAAGAACAATGAGTCAGAGAGCTTTGCAGTCAAGTGGTAGCAGCTTCAGAGAGGACACCATTTTGCAAATCAATTCTCAAAAACCTTTGAAGTCTGAGTTCTCTTCCTATTCTTGTAAACCCTCTCTCAGTTGTTTTTATGCAATATTTGCATCAAAGCGGCTCTGAGCTTTCGACTGATAACTTTTCCGGTAATTTCACTAAAAAAGTGTAAAAAATACACCATTTAATGCTGCCGAATTTCATGGGAAAACTGACAAATATCATAAAAAAGACCATTTCAAAGGGGAGAGAAGGTACACGTATGTAAAAATAGTATTTTGGGAAAGTTTGGAGTGTGCTGATTCTAACAGTATGTGTTGCTGTGGCGATAAAATGCGGTTTTTGTATGTTCGTGAACTGTCGGATTTAGAAATTTTCCCCATCCGCATTAGTTCCACATTGCTGCGCTTGTACATGTATACTGTGACTGGTTCCTGTCCTGTCTCAGTCCTCCTAATGCATATAATACGGACCACGACCAGTCCAATGATGCGCGATGGATCGTGTCATTGCCAACCTTGACTCCAAGGGTGTATCTGCGATCTTTCACTGGGGACCAACATGTCACGGCAAGATAGTACCCATGGGAATAAGGTTGCGTTGTTGGACTGGTCGCTTTTGGTTTATATACGCCTGGAGTACTGCGACAGGATGGGAACCAGTCTTCGTTTCAAAGGACATGCGCCACAGTGCAAAGCTCATGATGTGTGGATTGTTGGTAAAGAGAGAGGCAGGATCGTAAGTGAAATGTCTGGATTTTGCTAAAAATTAGCTGGTTACACGGTCCAAAACGGGAAGAATTCCATA